TGGACTCAATTTGCACTATTTCTGGCAGTCTGCAACCCCCATTTCTGATTCAAGGCTGCTGCTTCTGTTGCATTTGTGCAAATCAGTATTTTTGGTATGGAGGCTTCAGTTAAAAAACACTCAGACTGAAAGCAGAGAGCGCCTTTGCCTTAGGCTGATGGTTCATATTTTTTTTCTACATAAAATGAACGTCTGAAGGGTTTCCTTAAAAGGGTGTCACCCAAAGTCCTTTGATTAGGATGCACCAGTCCATTCCGAATGGTGCTGAGAAGACGAGGAGCTTTTCAAGGGTCATCCGAATACATTAAAGAAAAGCAATGGTTGCTTAAACAATTGTCTTTTTAGAGACCATGCGCATATGGCAAACAGAACACAGGAGCACACACATCCTAACTGTTGGGAATTCAAGTTTCCTAAGGCTTCAGGCTTTGTTAAGCAGAAAAAATATATCAAAATATCAAAAATATCAAAGCCAAGCCTGTTAGGGTCTAGCTTTAAATCAGCAGAGCAGCAGAAACACGTCCTTGTCTAACAATGGGCCTTTGCAGACTGCCAGAACTAGTGCACATTAAATTGAGGCACTGCCCTGGCTCAGTACTAGGGAATCATGGGAACTGTAATTTATTGTGGCACCAGAGCTCTCTGGCAGAGAAGGCTCAGTCTCTCAGAAAAAAATACAATTCCCATGACTCCCTAGCACTGAGCCAGGGCAGTGCCTCAATTTAATGTGCACTATTTCTGGCAGTCTGCAAAGGCAGAACCGAGGCTGACTCAAAGACAACACAAATAGCTAGTAGTTTAAAAAGAAAACTTTACTAATGGCTTGAATCTACAGGGGCATAGAAGCTACATCTTAACCAGCTAATGAATAGTTCAGGTAAAAGAAGAAATCTTTATCTCACCATCTTTCGAAGAAAGTTGATAGAGCAGGGAGATGGGAGGCAGGATTGAAGCAAGAGAATCTCTTTGTGTGAGAAAACTTCCTAAAGGAAGTCAGCTGAATCACATGAATTGTTTACCCATTTACAAAAGTATTTATTGCCCCTATGATCCAGCAAGAACCAAATGGGATATTTTAAAGAGGGAGCACAGCGGAGTTTGCATGCAGGGAAAACCCTGTCTATCTGAGGAAGGGGAGAGAGAATACAAAGATTTTCCAGCACTAACACTATGGGGATGGTTTATATGAAAACCATTGCTGAAGCAACCCATTGCTCCTTTCTTTAATGTATCTTGAACACACATCCACACTCACACACCTTTCCAAACTACCAATGCAGAGGGGGGGGACTTCCAAAAGGGGAAGGATCACAATCCATCTGGAGGCATCCTTCCCCTGTGCAGGATCACAATCCATTTGGATGCATTTATATTTCTACTGTAAGGACCGCCACAACATCGTGGACCTTGGTTGTGTGGACTCATCTGGGGCTTGTGTGCCTTTTTCCTTTCGGCAACTGTGGCGCATCCCAGTCTTTCCTCAGGGATTATTGTGGAACAGTCCCATGATAATCGCAATCTATTCCTACCCATTTCAGCAACCAAGTAGAATGACCCATTTTATTCTGCTGACCAGAATGACCAGTTCAGGGTGCAAAATTAGACTTACACAACCACTGCCTTTCTTTGGCCCTTTGGAAGAAGCCTATGGACTGGATCCTATTGGTTATTTCTAACTAAAATAGGCCCATTGACTCAATCGCTGACTGGTGCGTTGACACACAGATAACTCCCATTAATGTAATGGATCTTCATCTCACCTTAGCCACAAATTCCTCCACTGTGCAGGCACCATGCTCTCAGCCTCCCTCCCCCTCAATTGCACAAGCAATTCCTTCCTTTGAGATATTCCTGTGTCCAGCTGAAAGGAACGAACTATTCAAACAGCATCAGTGCCTCAAAGGTAGGAAAAGTTACTGCTTGGGACTAGATCTCTCAGAATCACTTGGGCAGCAGGGTCACTGGCTTCAGTCACTTGTCATCGGGCTTTATTTATGTGCTTCGGGATCCATCTGAGGTTGAGGGTTTGGATATCAGAGTGATCTTCATAGTGTTCCCAAAATTGCCTATCCCCAATTCCTTGAGTCACACAGGTGAGAGGAACATCCTGGCGAGTCTGATACCTTTCCAGAGAGTAGCCTACAAGGAAACTTTAGAAATTCTGTGTGTGTGTGTGTGTGTGTGTGTGTGCGCGCGCGCGCTACGGGGCTTTTGTTGGACTGCAATCGTGAAGGCTGCTGGGAACTAAAACATCTGGAGGGACAGGTGTTTTCTTTCTCAGATTTAAGGAAATTTGACTGGTAGCATTGTTGGCGTACCACTCTTAGGGATGGTCGAAATGAGTGCTCCCTGAATCCTGAGTGCGAAGACTCACTGAAGCTGAAGAGCCAAAGCTCTACAGGTTTCTTGGGCACTAACAATGTGCCACCAATAAACCTTAAAGCACGTTTATTCCCTGTTGGAAAATCCTTGCATTCTCTCTCCCCCTGCTCAGATCTTCCTTGCATGCAAACTCTGCGGTCCCCTCTTCTAAACATCCCATTTGGTTCTTGCTGAATCATCGGGCAATAAATAGCTTTGTAAATTGGTAAAACAAATCATGTGATTCAGCTCACTTCCTTTTGGGAAGTTTTCTCTCTAACAAAGAGATTTTTATCCGGTCTCTCTCCAGTCTCCCATCTCCCTGCTCTATCAACTTTATTCAGAATGACGGTGAGATAAAGATTTCTTCTTTTACCTGAATAAATCCCCAGCATCCCCCTCACTTCCTAATTCTATGCCATTCATTCTGTAAACTTCCCTTATCCCATGCTGCAAATCCCACAGATACTATTCATCCTGCTCTGGATTTAAGGTGCTAAATCCAAATGTCAGCCCCAACTCCATGAGATCCATTGAGCCAAAGGGATGGTTCAAACAGTCCCATTTGTTCTACTGGTCTACTGTACATAGATCCAACTTGAATTTAGCCTAGTGGTCTGGAGGAAGAGTTGCTCTATTAATTTGTAAGAAGGAGGCATTTAGCTGGGAAAGAACAGAGAAGATGTGGCAAAGGTGGATCAGGAAAGACTTCAGTGGAAACCTGGTAGCCTTCAGGTCGTTTCTGATCTATGACCACTCGAAGGCGAACCTATCACTGCATTTTCTTGTCCAGATTTTTTTTTTCATAGGAGGTTTGCCATTGTTTTCCAGATTTTTTTCGCCCAGAGGCGGTTTGCCATTGTTTGCCTTTGAGGTTGAGATATTGTGATTTGCCCAAGGCCATCCAGTGGGTTTCCATGGCTGATCCGTGATTCGAACCCTGATCTCCCCGAGTCCTAGGCCAACACCTAAGACAGCACACCACATTGGCTCTCCTGGTAAAATACATTGCTTGAAAAGGCTGTAAGCCACCCGTCCTGCTGTCTAGGGATCCTTCTGCTCAGTCTCTGGAATAGCTCCCTGGACTACTGCCCCAATCCCTTCCTTGGAAGTATGCAAAGCAGATGAATTTAAGATGATGGCAATAGATCTCGGTTTCCACCTTGCCTCTGCCAGCAACACCTAACCTTTCTTTGGGAGGAACAGTCGTCCCAGCCTCTCATTCCACCGGTGGCACTTGGGCCTTAACAAGACTTTTGTAAGGATGTCTGAGATCATGGAGCTGAGGGGGGTTGCAGATTGCCAGAAATAGTGCAAATTGAGTCCACTTTAAGGGTTAGGATTAGTGCTAGGGAATCATGGAAGTTGTTTTTTTTTTTTCTGAGACATTGAGCCTTCTCTGTCAGAGAGCTCTGGTGCCACAATAAAATACAGTTCCCATGATTCCCTAACCCTAACCCTAAAAATGGACTCAATTTGCACTATTTCTGGCAGTCTGCAACCCCCCTGAGACACTTTGGACCTTCCAAAGTGTCAAGCCTAATTATAATCACCTCCTGAAGGCTCAGGTCTCCATCGAAGTCTGTCTTGATCCACTTTTGCCACATCTTCTCTGTTCTTTCCCTTCTCCTTACCCCCTTTAATGCAGACAACACATTTTCTGGGCAGGAAGCAAGTCGCTGTGCAGCATCTATAGAGTACACTGTTGTGTTGGCCAATGCCTTCACCTTGTTTAAGATATGAGAAGGTCATTGTATCACGGGTGTGGTAGGAATTGTATGCACACCTATACAGCTCTCCCCCGTGTGTGTGTGTGTATACACATCTACTTATGTATACATAGAGAGCCAGCGTAGTGTAGTGGTTTGGACGCTGGACTATGACTCTAGAGACCAGGGTCCGAGTCCCAACATGATAATGGAACCCAGTGGGTGACCTTGGGCAAGTCACATGCTCTCAGCTTCAGGAGAAGGCAATGGCAAACCGCCTCTGAACAAATCTTGCCAAGAAAACCCCATGATAGGGTCACCTCTGGATCGCCATAAATCGGAAACGACTTGAAGGCACACAATAACAACCACAAAATATGTATACATATGCATGTGTGTAGAGAGCCAGGGTGGTGGTTGGAGTGTTGGACTACAACTCTGGAGACCAGGGTCCAAATCCCAGCTAGGCCATGAAACCCACTGGATGACCTTGGGCAAGTCACAGGCTCTCAGCCTCTGGGGAAGGCATTGGCAAACCTCCTCTGAACAAATCTTGCCAAGAAAACCCTATGATAGGGTCGCCTTAGATAAGTCGGAAACGACTTGGAGGCACACAACAACAACAAAACGTGTGTGTGTGTGTGTGTGTGTGTGTGTGTGGTCTATGCACCTCAGTTAAGGAAAAGTGACTTCTTTGGACTACAGCTCCCAGGGCCATGCTGGCTGGGGGATGCTGGAAGTCGTAATCCAAAATGTCACTTTCCCAAGCTCTGAGTGTGTGCGTGCATATATCTGTATACCTCTCTCTTTCTATTTACAGGGATATAGGTCACTTGTGTATTCAGGCTGGCAGTGGCAGGTGTGTATGTGTATGTGTGTATCCAGGGGGAGGAAGGAAGGAAGGAGAGTGTTTGTGTGACAGCTCACCTCTCCCCTACCAAGCCACCGTAATTATCCTGCTGAAATATTCTTCAGTGGCCAAAAGTTGCAAAATAAATCGACCTCTCTGAGCTGGTTCCAGAGGTCTGGAGCCATCATCCTTTTTTCAATACATTTTAAACAAGAGGCTGGAGCGAGCGACTCCGATTCAATACACATAATCAGTTTGGAAGTCTTATTTCCATTTGAAAACAGGCCTATTTGCAATCATGAGAGCCGGACACGCTGAAAGATACAGAATAACGTGCCCCTGAGAGAGGAGGGGAGGGGAGGGGAGGGGAGGGGAGGCGGGGGAGGCTGCTGGGTGTGAGAGATTGTGGTTGTGAACAACCACCGCCAGAGAAGCAGTCAAGATTTTCTGCCTCTTTCTTCAGCCTTCTTTCTTGAAGGCATCTTGCTTTATTTTTAAACAGGCCACCCCAATCACGATCGATTTTTAAAATCTCCCATTCCCTTAAGAATAATATTTTTTAAAATCATTTTTTTTTAAAAAAAGCCACACAAGCAAAAAAACAAACAAATAAATAAACACAACCCTGCTGTGATCCACAGCTTGGCAGCAGCACGTGGAAGGAATGGAAAAGGGAGGCTTGCGGCTGAAAGCAGAATGATTGGCAAAGCATTGTTGATTGTTTGGGTTAACAGCCATTTCATCAAGACTAAGGACCCCAAGGGGTCAAAATGGTTTTGCACCAAATGCTGACCGAGCTGGCATGCTCGGGGGTCCTTGTTTCTGTGGGTTTGGGTGGGCGAGAGAGTGGGTGCTCCTGGGCTTTAATGCAGCGACTCAAACATACATTTGCAAGAGATGATCAAGGATGCGGGAGGGAGAGGGAGAAAGGAGGGTCTACATCTGAATAAAGAGCAAAGAAAAATAATATATTGTGGGGGGGG